CCCCTGAAACGGCAGAGGTGCTCCAGGCCGGGCAGAACGCTGTGCTTCCCAGCAGCCTGGCACAGCTGTGCTTCCTGTGGGTATGGCCCCATACATCCGTGCTGCGAAACTACCCGGGAGCTCATCGCCTGTCACTCCAAAGGGCAGAGTATTGCCTTCAGCCGTCTGCCTTCACCGTAGGCACAGGCCTGCCACCTACACCTACAGAAGACAACGCCGTGCCAAGCATAAAGCTGACATGAAAGAGGAAGGAATGTGGCAGATGGTGACAGCGGGTTGCTAATGTATATCCAGAAAGCCCTTGGGTATTACAGGGTAACATCCTATCATTCAATAAATTTTCACAATGCAGAGCATTCACTCAGCCTCACGAGTACACTATTTCGGGTAACAATTCTAGCCCCTCTGGATTAGGCCAGGTGTTTTTCAAAAGGAAAAGCCCCAAGGAAACCCCGGCAGCTTGTTATAGATAGAAACGACTCCTCAGCCTTACTGAGCGAAGCTCCCACCTTGGATGGGGGGGAACACGCTACCACAAGCCTTTATCATGTGTTCTCAACACAACACTCATGTCCTGATTCATACCAACCATCAGTAACTTTCCTCAAGCTGAAAGGCAACAGACTTCAGCACCTCTACTGAGCTGCAAAGGGGGATAGCTGAATAAGGCAAACAAAAGCAAGCACTGAACCAGTGGAGCTCGTTTACATTCTAACTGTAATTAGATGTACTCTGAATTTCCTTGTTATTAACTCAGTCATCACCTGACTATAGTTTTCTCATGGCCTCTGAGACTCTGGTCAGCTTTTTACCATCTCTGGTCCAGAGGCCTTTCCCAGGTGATTGCTCCTTGCTACCTGCTCCCACACAGCACTGATATAGAGCATGCTCATTCCCAGAAGCTTCCCAAGCACACACAGAGAATCATTACTTTTGCAGATACCAGAAAGAAGGATCCCAAACATCACTGAATTAAACCTGCTGTTTAGATTGTCCCTTATTTTTCCTTTTTTCTGTAGTAGTTCCAGTAGAAAGTGACACACTGTTTAATTACATGCACACACACACTTTTTAATTAAGACATTTTGATCCTGTTTCTGGACTGTGCTCTTGGTAGCTGGCTGTTGGCAGAGACAGTGGCTGGGTTCCACCCCAGAAGTCCTCACGGCCTGTGAAGCACGCCCAACACCAACCATCTGACAAGCTCTTGGGTAGCAAAGCAATCACGGGATCTGAACTGGCAAAAAGAAACTTCCTGTCAGCTGGTGGAGGGACATTTCTTCGCTGCTGAATCCCTTAGCTCCTCTTTGGGCAGGCACAAAATGCTGACTTTGTCTTCTGAATTTGGACGAACACAGAGGTAAAACTCAACTCCATCATTTTGCAGCCAGCACAACTAGTATAAGCCTTGCTCAGACCTACAGTCTTCCTCTCCAAGATCACTGGACTCCAAGTAATCTTGGGTCCAGTAACTTTCCACCAAAGCTTTCCAGTGCACGTCTATCTCCCGTCAATGACCCTGCGCCTTTTGACTAATGCAGAGAGCTAAATTTGTTCTTTGATCACAGATGGTTCCCCCCTTAACTCAGGCTGTGCAGACTGCACTGATGAATGCTAACTTTTAACAGGCTGTAAATCAGTCTGGTTTCCTTCCACAATTCCTCAAACAGACAATCCTAGATCAAATGATGGCAAAGACTGTTTCTGGCATACTCTGAGCTACAAGCTCTCCCTGCCTGGTCTGCCCCAGTTTTAGAAACTATTTGCAGGCTTCTGCAAGCCCTCAAAGTCTGGCTCTATGTGGCTACTCCATCCTGAGAATTCCAGGAATGGCATTTTTCCATCCAAGTTGCCCCTGATAGAAACACATCTGGTTTAAGCAGAAGGGCAAGAGCTGTGCAGAGTGGCCACCAGACCTAGCAGATTTCCCAGAAACTTTCTGGGTCATCATAGGGTTGCTTAAGGGTTGCTGGTGGACTGGTCAGCTATTTTCCTCACTGAGGAACCACTGTCTGGCAGCACCCACATAATTAGGTTTCCACAGGCATCAAGAACCTCTGAGGAGGGAAAGACAGACAGAACTATACATCTCCGACAGATCTGATCCTAAGCTGGAAAGAGCTCAGATTCAGGTTTGTCCTTATGAATATCCCAGCTGAATCCTGCCACATAAATCTTACTTATTTAGACTGTGTAGTGCCCAAGGGGCATATAACAGCACTGAATTATCTATGCCCTGCGCTTCCTTCAAGCAACACTACTTCCATGTTTGGATGAAACTGGCCACAAAAAACAAACCCAGAAGCAAAACACTGACAAAAGTGCAGAAGCCTTACAGTTTTTTAAAAGATGCCTTTTCCTCGGCATCCCAAACACTACAGAATTTGTGTTAAGTTTTATTTTCAAAATCATTACAAGCATTCAGTTTGCCTAGCAGGAGGCACACTCACCTGGAATGATGACCCACTTCATTTCAGTCCTTATGCTGCTGGATACCCAAACAGGATTTGGAACATCTGAGGCAAATTCATTTGTAATGAAGTATATCAAGAGGAAATGATGACTTTCCTTGCCTCCCTCCAACCCTTCCTCATCCAATCCAGACCAGAAAAGCCTTTCCAGCAAAGCTTGTGTTGAAACAGAAGCATTTTCATGAAAAGTTTTGGTTTCATCTGACTGGCAGTTTACAACTGCAAGTACGTCATCAAGGTTCCCAGCTAGCTCTTGGCTTGGACCCACAGTGACCTCAGCCCCGGCAGATGTTTGGAGGCCACGGTACAGAGAAAGAAACAGAGAACAAATACACAGACTAGTTGACTGACTGCAGGCACCCATGATCAGGATGAGAGAAAGTTGGAGAAGAGGTAAGCTAACGGTTATTTCTTCATTTAGAAATTCTTGTGAATAGAAAGCACAGAAAACATGCCATCTACCACCTCACAAATTCATGATTTCTTAGAAAAGATTCATCACAAACTTGCTTACTGCACCTCTACTCTCCCTCAGTTCCTTCCTACATGTCAGTACCTGGCTCCCTTCACTGCTGCCTCTACTGCTTTTTACTCCCCCTTGGTCCTCCTTCCACATAACTTACCCATTTATCATTGATCCTCAAGGCCTACCAGGCCTTTAGTATGTATGTGGAGTTGTATGATATAACAAGGTCAGAGCCCCTTTTTGCACACAATTGTCATACAACAGAAGAAATTGTGAAAGGTCAAGACTGACTTCTCAGCAACTCACAACAATATTTTGCTGCTTTCTTTCCCCTTCACACGGGCTCAAAGATTCACATTTTCTTCCTTTTCTCCCCTCAACCCCCTGCTTTCTATACACTAAATTCTGAACAGTTGGCCAAGACAGCAGATTCCAGAGAGTCTTATTCCAGGCCAAATAGCAATAAAACTCATTTGGCATATTCATCTTATTGGGAAGGTAATAAAATTAAGGAACAGGGTTGCTATTTTGGTATGCCATTTCTCAGTGAGGTACCGGTGACTAAGAAAAAACTTCCACTGAGCTAGGGAAGCTGAATGCTTCTCACAGCAGACGAGTAATGCAACAGGCTTATTATGGTAACAAAGACGTCTGCAAATCACCTAGAAAAGGCAACTTCCCAACACCCTTTAGCATTCCCATCCTGCTAAACATGAGGAAAGAACTAAGGAAAGGTTAAGCCTGGAGAAAGCAAGCTACCCACCCTTCCCAACTGGCACAACGGTTATAACAACAGCTGCCCTCACAGCCAAAACACCTGCACAGGAAATTAGTCCTCTGGAATCTCCCTGTTTGCCTTCTCCTGCCAAGCAAGTCTGCCCACTGTCAAGAATGACTGATAATTATTGAATTTGGGTTGAACAGTTTCAATTCGTAACATTTCCAAAAATATCAATTTGGTCCAGGACCAAAGCAAAGATGAGGTGAAGATGAAAGAGGAAGAAAAGGAAGGAGGGTGAGGTGGTTGCTCAGGCACTAAACAGAAAGGAAAATACGTTATTCATATGCCCTATTTCTGCCCCAATCTTAAGGTGCAAGTTAAGTCTGAAAAAGGACAACAGTACAGCCCTGCGCTTTCTTTGTGCGTTGTTCCCTCTGCGTCATCCGCTTGCCTGCATGCTGGATTTAGCAATGAAAATAAATATTATTTCTGTTAATCAACAGGGTCTCTGGAGAAGAACTGGGTCTGTGCTGGCTCATACATCATCCAACCTACACGGTTGAGACAACAGAATATTGTTAGCAGAGTGTATTACTCAGAAGGGACCTGATCTGAACTGCAGTTTCCAAGGACTTCTGCAGTACAAGCAGGGTTCTGGGCAAGGCTCATCCTTTTGCCCTGTTTCTGTACATTGCTTAGCACAAAGGTCCCTGATAAGGGATACAAGACAGAGCCATAACACAAATAATGAACTACATTTGCATGGCAGGGTATTAATCTCAACTCATTTTCTCACACAAACTGTTGGGCCGTTAAATCACCTGGGAGAAACCACAGATTCCCAAGTTTACTGTAACTCCATGCCAGTCTTTTCTGCGCATGCAATGGAGAAGGAAGGGCACTCACCTCCTTCCTTGCTGACTCCCAAGCACCCCTTCAGCTCCTGAAGAGAGATCGACTTGTCCTTGTTGAGATCACAGTAGTCAGTGAAACGTCGGGCACATTTCTTGGGTTTGGCTTTCTTCTTTACGTAACGCTTGAAAGGCTTCAGCTCCCGCTTGTTGATGTCGTTGCTGCTGTTGTTGTCCAGCTGGCTGAAGTACCAGTGCACCACTCGCTCCTCCAGCGTGTGGCTGGGGTCTGGCTCAGAGAACCTGGAACAAGAAGCACAGGATCACCGACTAGTGGATGCTCTCACCAACACTGTCAAGCATACGCTGAGGAGCCAGAGCTGCCCGCCGACTCAGACACGTGCTATGCCACATATTGAAAGCAGGCAAAATATGCAGGTCTTACAATCTCCTCCTTTTAGCTGGGCTCGTTTGAGAGGGACTAACTTTTTCTAAAAGCATCCTTTGGCATTAGCAAGCGGTGCCAAGAAATTCCTGGAGAACGATACCCTCAGTAGCTCTGGTTCTAATCCCAGAAGGACCCCCCTGCAAAGGGCAAGTGGGAATCTCCATGGTCCTTTTGACCCTTGGACTCCCATTCGAGTTACCAGAAGGAGAGCTGTGAGTGTCAGCTGTCATGTTTCTGTGATAGCAGAACCATCTAGACCTCAGAAAAGGAACAAATTCATTTAATGCAAGACACATTCATTATTTGAAAGTGTCCTTGGCAAGATGCAACATCCCTGCTGTATCTATGTATATGATCTGAACTCCTGTACTGTTTTCAGCATATTTAATGCTTTTCACATGGTTGATTTATACACAAGAATTCCACAGCAGACAAGCACCACAAATCCATTAAAACCAATACTACGGAACTGGCAACTTCAGTTTGCTTCATTTCTTATTCATTGTAATATTACAAGGTTGATGTTATTTGGCTCATATTTGCTTTCTGTGGAAAACAACAAACAGTATCAGGAGGAGATGAGGAGCAGGAGGAAAAGCAACAGCTGAGGATGCACAAACAGAGAATGCTGCTATTCAACATCAAGCCATCCCTGAACAGGCATTTATGTTGTACCATTTAATCGGTGCCTGGTGCTTCCCAGCAGCAGTGGCAAAGAGGTTATTCCTCAGTGATACAGAGAACCAGGGAGGAAACCCTTTCTAAAGAAGAATTCCTTAAAAATTGCACCAAGCTAGTCCATCTTTTCTCCATTTGATGGCCCAACAGAGGAAGCAGAAATGATGCTGGGACTTGAGCCTTTTTCATCCCAAGAATAAAGCATTTCAGTGCATGGAAATCAGTGGATAGGTAGTCAAGACACACTACACTGCACTGGTTGCTCTGACTTATTCCAGGAGACTATCCTCCAGCTGCTGCCTAATTCCTTCCCCAGCAGTGGGAGAGGGACAGTTTTGTGCTGCAAGCAGCCAAATTGTGGTGGGAACTTGGGACATTCTAGCTGATGGGGAAATATGAACCCAGGTACCTTATAAAATGCACTTTAAGACTGTCACCAACCTTCTTTCAGAAACTCGTAGGATATGGTCGCTGAAAATGACTTTGTTGGGAACTAGAAGGGAGAAAATTATTTTTGACTTTCTCATGTGACCAGTTTTTCCTCAAACACAGCTACAGAGCCTGAAAAGGAAAAACTCCACCCTACCATCACGTTAATCTAAATCACCAATGAAGGGGAGTCTGCAACATGCAGAAAGCAAAACCTGGAGCCTAGGTGGAGAACTGAGATCCCCATTAACCTTCTCTGATAGCTTTTACAATTTAGAAAGGTAGCCCCTATCCAGAGACATCTGGATCCTCATAACAAGTAAACACACAGTAGGGAGAGGCAAATAAATTGCAGAACATCTTTTTTTCCCAGGGTTTTACTTGAAACTATCTCCTTCATCATATAATTCTTAGCTGAGAAGCAGCCTGGCATTCAGTCACAGCATCTGGTCAGTGTACAGTGGGATAAACACTGGAGGGGAGATAGGAGAGATTAGGAACAAGTTTGGCTTAGTTTTGGGAGCAAAATACAAGGCATGCCCCTGGAGCCACCTATGGAGAGGCAGAAATTGCAAAAATCTCCCCAGGAAGCTCAGGGAGTGCCCAGTTTTTTCAGAGCCTTGAAACTGTATATGAAGACCAGGATGGCAAGAGAGAATAAAAACACATCCTGTGGCTTGTTTTTATGACATTTATGAACAGAGTCATTGGCCTCTCTCCCTTTTGGAAATGAGCTGGCTATCATCTGAAGACTAGCATATTTCCAACAGCCCCGCGGAGCATTTGGATTGCAAGGGGCAATATTCTGCTTTTGGTGAGATAGAGGAATAAAACTTGAGCTTTTGGCATGCGAGATTCCCCTTGTCCACACCTTGGCCTGCCCTTTGTTTCCTAAAGACCCACAACTAGAGAAGCAGAAATGCAGAAAATAGCAGAGAATCTTAGAACCAAGAGCGTAAAAACAACAGATAGGAACACGAGCTTCTCTGTGCTTGTTGAAGAGACACTCAAAAGCTGGACTTTTTCAGAAGCACATCAAGGAGGAGCTGTTATGAGTTACCAAGAGAGGCAATATAGCTCTCTTCAGCACTTGCATAAAGAAAATCAGGGAAATCCACAGGCTAATACAAATACATTGACTCATGAGGTGATGATACATCAATATTTGCCATTACAAACATGCTGAGAGCTCATGCTGAAAACTGCAGCATGCTGATGGAGCTAAAGGGAGTCAGTTTAACTGCTTTGATTGTAGGAGGAAGGAAGATATAGCTGTTTCTGAGTTTCTACCACTTCCTGTTGCCTGCCTTAGCAGGACTGCAGTTCCCAAGTTGGTTGCCTGCCCTTCCTGATCATCACCCAGAATTCCAGCACAGGAAGGATCCACATCATCTCCGTGCAGCTGTATCTCCCTAGCTCATGACAAGTACACTGTACACTAAAGAAGGTTGAAGTTACAACACCGTATCTAACGATCTTGACTTTGACAGCTGCCCATGCAAGACACATGCACCATCCGTGAAACATGAATTGATGCAACTTCACAGCACTGCTAAGCCACCTAGCTTTGATGATGTGCCATGACAACCACCATACCTGCCGGTCAGCTGAAATAAATCTGAGGGCTCTAATTGTCCTGCAAGCACAGACTTTACAGGAATATTCCAGGGTAATTTCCCTCTATTACTCCTCCATTGCTGTTGCAAGAGAAATAATTCAGTTGCAAACTTAATTTGCTGGGATGCCTCTTTACCCACTCAGACCATAAAAGAATCAGAAGAAATGAGAGAACAAAGCTGATTTGTACATTCTCAACTCCCATCAAAACATCTCTTGCTCTAACACCAGTCACACAACAATCCACTGAATTTCAGTCTCTCACTCCAGCACTGTAGCAGCTTTGTAAGACCTACTAAAGACAGACATTACCAAGATGCAGACAGCATTCTCAGTCTTGCCATGTTGACTTTATTACAGCTGTACTTACCTTTCTTCCTAATTGTTCCTCTTTAGCACTCTATGGCAAAACAGTCATCCTAAAGAATGAGTGCTGGGGAAGCAAAGAGCTATGTGCAAGCCAATTTGCCAAATCTAACCTGCTGTTGCTGGATTGCTTCCGTACATAAGCCAGCAAATTTAGCTCCATTATGCAGCATAAGCCCACCCACCGTCCAACAGGGAAGAGAAGCACGGTCTGTCGTTAACAGCCTAGGACAGGGAACCTGCTCCCTCAGCTTTCTTACGAATTCACTGGCATCAAGTACAAAGCCTCCTCCAAGAAGGCTTTTGCTTCTCCACCTGTATAATGTGCTATCAGTTCCCTCATGGAGGAGAACACTTATTTCTTCGGTGGCTTATGTCTGGAGGTATGTAGGTTAAGGTACTGCTATTCTTAACAATACCATTTTCCAGTGGAGACACGCCTCCACAGAACACCTTCATATCGTCTGGCATAACTGGGGTACAGGCAAAAAGCAAAGAGGCTATGGACATGCACTTTTGCAGCTGCACTGAATTCTGGAGCAGAGAGAGAAGAATATGCCAAAATATCAAATAGACAGGTTGGATATGCACTTTGCATGCAGTCTGTAATGTCTTCCAGCCCTTGAGGCCCCTTGCAAGAAAGGAGGAGTTAACTCAGTAGGAAGGAGCAGGGAAGAAGGGGAGGTATATAGGGTAAGGTATACAAGAGCAGCAAATGTCAGACATTACTCACATACAGACCCATGTACATGTACAGTGACATTACCCTCCATAGAGCTGTGCTGTCAAAGCGTAGTATGTCTCACTGAACCTGACTGAGTAAACTGAAGTCCATTCCTACCAAAGCCGATCCTTTTCTCCCTGAACACTTGCCGCCTCACCGCATCCCACTGCACGGACCCCCAGTACTGTGGCAGTGACAGAAAATCCAAATACGAAATACTGCTTTGACAGAAAGCAGTGTTGCAATCTCTGAAGTTCCCAGCAGACAATCACTCGTTTGAAGACCTTTAGAAAACCTGTTATTTTGTCACACAAACTTTATGTAGCAACAATAGCAGCTGAGGCAGAAGGAGTGAAGGGGAGTAAGACCTAACTGGACATCACCTAACTGGATTGCAGACAGAGACTATAAACCAAAGGGAGCTATTCCAGGATGAAAGAACACTAATGGGCAAGAAGCTGCTAGCAGAAGTAACAGAGCAGGGAAAAAAAAAAAAAATTAGTCCAGCTTCCACTCCTAACACGTGAGGTATGTTTGTGGTTAGGGTGTCCACGGGAGTTAAACCTGTAAGTTTCTATGACTTGAAAATATTTTGCAAGGATGTATGCCTTGCTTGGTGCTGTTGCTGAATGAAGAACAGATGAGAGCGAAGCTGAAGAAAGGACAGGACCAACCCTGCCAGTCAACACCCAAGACAGCACTGATGACGTCCACCAAGGTGCTTGCAGGGAGTGGTGGAAAGCGGTGAGTTTAACAAACTCAGGTAAACTTCAGAATTGTTCTTGATCTGCTTCCATTTCTCCCTCTCCTTTTGTTGTTTTCTGCTGTTGCCAATTCTGAAGTTAAAGGCTGTAACAAGGCTTGAATCAAAGAGGATTACTCTAACAGAATTGCAAAAGGATCCTGTATTTATTATCCTCCCTTTCCTGTAGCCAAAGAACTAAGAAGCCAATAACAAACTAAACCGAGTTCAGACTAAACAAAAGGGTACTACACAGCCCAAATTCATTACGGGGAGTGCATAATTCCTCTACGGTTAAAACTTGTTATCTTCCTATTACAGACCCGGTCTCTTCCTCTCCTCCAGCTGAGTTGTGTATGAAACAATTCTTCTGAACGCACCTTTCCTGAAGATTGTGGGATAAATCATTTAGAAGGTTTAAAAATCACTTCCCTCCACTCCTCATCGACTGTTCAAAGATCCTCCTCTTAGATGAACTCTCTCATATCTTTTATTAGCTAGTATTTCCATAGGAGCACAAAGAGAAGTTGGTATCCAACCTCGATTGAAATGCACTAGGAGTTGGGCCTTAACTTCCCCACACTATTTGAAAGTGTCAATCTTTGTTAAAACATGGCTGGGCTTCAGAACACCCTGGAGGTGTGCTGAGTTGTGTTTGCCTGTTTCAAACTACTCAACTAGAGCATGAAAGGGAACCTCGGGGGCAATTTTTTGAAATACTTTTTAGGGCTATTGCATAGGGAATAATTGGCAACTTAAAACGAAGGGACACAGCTGCTATGCTACATGATGGGGGTGGCTGTTGTAAGCTGCCCTTTTAACCCTAAATTCCACAGGGCAGTAATATTCTTGCTGATAATGTAGCAAGCCATAGCGCACACATTTTGGCAACTAAAACTCATTTCTAAATTGGCAGAGTCCGAAGAGAGATTCTCAGATCAGGGATACCCACACTGGGATCCCCTTTGGTCTATTTTAGTTGATGCCCTGTTTGATATGAATACGTCTGAATTATAAAATAGACTAAAATGTACTAAAGCAAAATCTAAATTTTAAAAAGTGCTGCTCCTATTAGATAGGATTTATACACATACAATTTCAACTGCGTTTTTTCAAAAAGGATACCAAGCAGTGGTTAATAAGCCCATTTCCTACAAGCGCTCGCTTAATGACTTTGAAAACATACAGTAACAAGATGTGCCTTGGAGTTATTACATAAACTTAAAATTAAGAATGAATTTTACCAGAGTTTTTCTGTTTCAAAAGTCTAAATGAAGTCTACTCGGCTGTTTTGCTGTAATATAAACCAGGGCCATGAGGAAGGGAAGTTCTCATCTCATTTACATTATTGTAAAGCAAGAGTAACTCAATTAAAGTCAATAGCTTTGAACTTGCTTAAACGAGACAAGACCTATATGGGATTACAAGGTTGTTTTAAGCATGCCCAATAAAAAAAAAAAAAAAGCCTTATCAGGTTTTACTTACATGGCCTGCAGCAATCCAAGTTGTACAGCCTCACTTTGCTGCTACTAGATTGGTTTTGTGTGTGCCAAGTATACAGTGTGCAGTTTAGCACAGTTTTACCTAGTATTTTTAAATGCAGATCTCTGTAATTTCTCCTCATGCTCTACCCTCCCCCTCAAAAAAAAAAAGGCTAATATGGGCATTAATTGCAAGGCCGCAGATAGCTTTGCGGCATGAATAGTTTAAGTCTTGAAGATGAAGACCCTCTGTCAACTCAAGAAGTTTTCACTCGCATGTCCAGATTCGGACTGAAGGCGGCAGGGTAATCTAATCTGATTTCCTCTATGTCATACTCCCAGAATGTGACTCGAATTACTCTTAGGATCATAGCTCGGGTTTGACTAAAGCAAGTCTTCCTGAAAAGCACCAGGCCTAAGATGAAAGCTTTAGAGAGAGGGAATCTGTCATCTCCCTCATGACTTCATTCTGCCTTAGAACTGCCCTCGCTTTAAAGAAATTTTGATCACAAGCTTGTTTATATTCAGCTAATCATGTTCTTCCCTGCTAGACTAAAGAGACTGCAGAGCTTTTGTCCCTACGGAGATACTGAGATCACACAAAATCATCTTTCAACCTTTTTTTCTTTCTTTTAATACCCCAAGGAAGGCTGAGCTCCTTAAGACTCTCACTGTTAGGCTTTTTCAGTCCTTGGAAATGCTCTTCTCTGCATTTGGTCCTATATTTTAATGTTGATACTGAAGATGCATATTGTATGCCAGTATCATCTCTCCACTGTCATGGAGAAACAGGAATACTCCTCTCCTTTCCTTAAAACTCCTGCTGCTTCTCCGATTAAAATACACAGGACAATACGTGGGACCAACTGACATGGAGATACGACTTGCCGTTTGCCTGGCCTGCCTCCTGCAACAGGCGCAAGCTTTGCTGGTGATAAGTTAAAAATTTACCTTGGATCACTGGATGTGTTTGTTCAAACTCTAAAAAAGGCCCAGGAGGATGAAATGCTGAACACTGTAAAGGAACAGCAAGAGGGAGGCTAAGGAGGGAACTAGTGTGGGGTTAAATACAGAACCTGTTCTGCCATCATTACGACAAAGAGGGAGAAGAGCCTGCAATAAGAGAAGCTTGCCTTGCAGATAAGAAAACTGACATTAAGACATTAAAACCGACATTAAGAAAAATCAGATAGCCAGATCCCTAGCTTTTCTTTTCAACATGACCTTCTTGGCAAGTCTGGAACAGGGAGATACAGGATAAGCACTGTCATAAATCCAGTGTTTTGTTAATTGTTAAGGTTGGAAACGAATTAGCTTTTTGATTAACCCTATAGGTAAAATACTCGTGTCTTGGAAAAGAGCTTTTGTTTCCAGTGCCAAAGTTAAGTTAGGCCACCCAGACAATTTCAGATATTCTTGAGGAGTGGACTCAGGACATTCCTGCCCTTGGGAAACCTGGAAAGCAGGAGTCATTGCAGAGACAGCTTCCCAACTCTCTAAACTCATATGAAATGAAAGCTGTACTGATTAAGTACCCAATATTCCTTGAAATGCTTTTCTTTGCAAAACAAACGGCCCCATCACGGCACAGTGGGATGGGAAAGCTTGACGTATGTTCTTTGGGCTATGCGCTTAGCCTAGCTGATGCACGCGGAAGTTTACGCCACAGCAGTTTCCTGAATTTAATCGCGGCTGTGGGCAGGCAGCAAATTTGGGTGGCAGCAGTCTTTCGCCTTACAAAGGACAGCCTGCTAAAAGATTTCTTTTTCCTCTTGCAAATGGGCTGCCGACACTGGAGCTGAAAATAAATCAACATGACGACTGTGTGAAGAGCCAGGCAGTGAAAAATTCTACCAGAAAGGCCTCTATTGAAAGCTGAGAAATACACAAAGCTTGGGGAACATTAGGAAGCAAGCCTGCTGGTTTATAGAAGTGCAGTGGGGGCATACATCTCTGGTCTCTACAATATTGGTTTATATTAAGCTTTATTTTAAAAGTGATGATTACATTGGCTGAGTTTCAGTTCCAGTGCCAAAGATGCCAAATAAATATCAAATACTCTCCAGGGCTTCCCACTGCATTTGAACCATGCAAATTAGACAGAATTGACATTGGAATGCTTATGGCTGAGGAGAACGACGTATTTCCCATCCTTGGGGCATTTTTCACCCTGTTTATATGAATACAGACATGCTAGGCGTATACTGCTAATTCGCTGGGTTACAGAATATTCAGCCTGCACTCAGCCACCGGCCTGATTTGTAAGGTCCAAACGTGAAGTTAAAACCATATGGGTTCACAAGCAATCCATACTAAAACCAAAAGGCACAGCGGTGCCACCCAGGAAGTTTCTTGTCTCGAGTAATTAAAGACGGCACTGCTCCCTTCCACATTTTGAAAGGGGAAAGCAGGGGATCAACATCATTCTCAGTATGTTGAAGCAAAACCCAGGGAAGTATCTTGTGCACAGAGGCACCTCCTTCATCTCTAGACTCCTGTGAACATGAGCACAGTATTTATTATTGCATCCCTGTGTGCTAGTCAGGGGAATCCAGCATCACAGAAGCCTTGCCTAGCCAAGGAGATTTAATCCATCACAGTCCCTTCTCAATGGCCTGTCCTGCCCGAAGGGGATTTGCTGTTATCAAGCAGAAGGGGGAGACAAGCCCCCAGCTTTCCTCCAGTTCCCCAGAAACGCAGACTTCTGCCCACCTCCTGCAACAGGCCTGACCTGCTGCTCCTTCCAAGAGGGATGAACAGGCAGCCGGTCGGAGGGGATGGCTGTGAAAAACAGCTCCTCTCCTCATCGTCAGGCTGGCTCCAGCCCCACAGCAAAACCACGGCGCGGGTACTGCCAAGAATTCGGCTTGCATTCTTCCCTCCCTGTGGTAGCCACTAGGCCACACGGCCTCCTTCAGTCCATTTGCATTTTATTAGGTCTTTTCATGCACCAGGGGACAAAAGAACAAGCCACTTCCTCCCACTGAGCTCTCATTTCACACTTCAAATGGGCTATACTAACCTTTATGGTGGAGCAGCTGCCAGGGAGGAGGGGCAGGAGGAGGCAGGCAGGACCAGTATGACATGACAGAGCAGCTTCCGAAGATGCAGCCTCAGCTTTTCTCCCAGCAGCCCAGAGAACCCAAATCAGCGCACAGCAACACCCTTCCCTCCTGCCCCCACCTCAGGGGCACCCAGAGCTCTGCAGCCACCTTGGTGGCATGCACCCCAAGTGCTTTCTGGACTCACCTCCCACCCCCCGTCGGCGCTGCTGAGTTAATAGCCTGGACCATGTCTGTAGTGAGAGCATCAAGTAGGCTGGTAATAAATTCAACTTTCTTCCCTTCTGGGCAGCCTGCAGAAAGAAAAGAGGAGGTTTAATGCAAGAACACACAGCACTGGTCTCCTACCCCAGTTCAGCAAGAACCTCCTTTGTTTGTAACATGGCAGCCATCATCACAGTCCCTAAGGAAAGGCAGAAGAATCCCTCAGTGGGTTTTCTCTGCGTGGCAATTTGTCCTGCAGCTTTTGTCCAGGCACACAGAGGGTCAGCAACAATAACTGGCAGGAAGACAGTGTGGTTAGCTTTATGGCCTCTCCCAGTTCCCTACCAGCATAACCACAGGGATGTGCTGGAAGCGCCTGGCAGACGGGAGCTCCCATGGTGACACTTGTAGAAAAGTTTACAAAACAACTCATTACCTCCTGGGTCATCTTCCTCTGAAAACATGGCTTTTCTGAGGTCCTAACTGACAGTTTAAAGCTTCCCAAAGCACGGGCCAAAAGCGAAGACTGCTGCTTGCGCTCTCCTCTTCAGGCATGGAGCGCGTTTCCTGCCAGCAGCTACCACAATAATTCAGTTCTTTGCATGAACGCACTGCATGGGAAATACGTCAGCCTAAGTCAACATGCGGCAATTGCCTCCAGTCAGTGCTGGCTTAGGCAGGACAAAGCGGGCCGAAGGCAGGCTTGATAACCACTTCCATTACTTAGTCCTGAGGCCATCCAGTTTCCCACCATCATAACCACAGATTGACAGTCTCCTATCCTTAACACTGCCAGCCTGTTGTATGACACAGCTGACACTAAAATCTCCATCTCCTCACCTTTATGAAGCAATCTATGCCATTTCCTTTACTACTACGTTAATACTGTAACAACTGCCTATCAAGGAACAAACATATTTAACTTCAACCCATCGCCTCCCATCCTACTCTCTTCTCTGATGTGATGGAAGAGCCATCGCCACATCCCTCGCCTCTTCTTTTTCCCAAAACCATCATTCACTACCAATTAGGCACCCAATTAGGGCAGCAGACATCAGAAAACAGGATCCCCCTAGCAACATACAGCAGTGTAAACCCTTTCTGCTTTTCCTGGACAAGCAGAGAAGCACGTGTACCCCAAACAGAGCACCAGAAACTCACTGTAATCCCTTGACAGCTGAAAGCAGCTTGCAAATTGATCTGACAAAACTCCCTTCTTTGCAGTATTACAGGCCCTGTTCCCTGCAACAGCTAACCAACAGTCCCTAGCCTGTCTCCATATTATGTGCATTACACACACGCACACCCCTCAGCACTCGTTTGGCACGTGGTCCAGAAAATGTCAGCATTGTAATGGGTAAGCTGCTATGGCAGCCAGAGTAGACCACTCACTTAAAGGAGCTTTTTGTTGCAGTAATGAGAAGGTTGAAAAACCATTTGCTAGAAGTCATCTCCCTGGGGCCTCAGCATCTCACCATCTGCAGGAATTAGCAGCTTGCCATTTGCTATGTGAAAGCAACACTTTCCTTCCTTCTTTCTTTCTTCTGGCTCTTGTGGGCACAGCCGTGACACAGTTTGAGAGGAGGGTGTGTGTAGGTGTGCAAAGATTTGGATTTATGTCTCCCCCACCTTGGCCTCTGCAGGATCTCTTCACACAGGCCAAAGAGCACACTGGCGGCAGCACGTCGAGTCTGAAGAATGGGCAAGCCTCTCGAGGAGGATGATGGTAAGGGGTCCCCCTTACAGAACCGAGTGCAAATAGAAGGATCAGTCTCAAATTAAAGCAGGGTTTGGGGGTGTTTATTCTTAAAATTCAGTTCTAGTAAGAAAGATCAGAAAAAGTAGAAGGGAGCATCCCCTCTCGCCCCCTGCTGTTCTGGCTGACCAGGGAATTTTCACATGCAGAGCAGCTAATCAAACAAACCTCAAGTCTGAATCAAGAGATCATGGAGCACAGCATCAGGCGGACAAACCAGGGCCAGATCCTCTGTCTTCCAGTGTGACACAAGGGCATTTTCACTGACAGGCACCGTCACGTCAGCCAATCCAGCCCAGCGCTGAAAAGTTCACTAAGGCACTGAAAAGTGGCTTAAGCTAAGAGGGAAACTCTCATGGAGTCTGTTGCTGGGATCAGATCACTAAGCCACAGAGCATCATGTGCCCTCTTCTGCATCAAGCAGTTCCTGTCCCCTTGTCCAGCTGCAGTGCAGAAGGGGAGGGAGAAGAAAGATGAAACCATTCTGTCTTCCTGAGAAATCAGAGAGAGAGTCTCCAAGAAAAAGCCCAAGAGCAAAGGATTTTCACAGAGGAGTTCTGGAGAGGCAGGTGGGAAGTGCAGAGAGAATCAGTAAAGCAAGGGGAGAAGGGGAAGAAAGGAAGTAAGGTTATTCTATTTTAGCATGATTTCCTAAGGAAATGAGCCTTAATGCAGTCATTTAGCAGGTTTCCCTCCCCCCCACCCTCCAAAATAATACTTGAACCGATTGACCAATTTCATTTGAATGTGAGAGGGAGAGGCAGATAGGATATTTCTACATGACTTGTGAAAACCAGGAGCTGCATAGAAGAGAGCCCTGCTGAGGGCAGATTTGCTAAGCAGAACGCTACGGGACCCAAGGTCAGGACCCGGCAGGAAGAGAATTAGGAGACACAGAAGGCAAATCTGGGACAAATCTCATTTCCTTTGCTAACCTGCTCAGGGACAACTCACTTTATGCTAGCCTTAGAAAGCACCAGACAAAAAATGAAGTGGATCCAGAGCTTTTGTGCATAGTTCCTGGTCCCTACCACTCCCTCATGGTGGGGAGGGACCCACAGTGTCTTCTGTTTTCAGGCAGTCAGCCCCCACCAGGAGAGCGATGGTTGATCTCTCACTTGAGGGCTCCTTGCTCTGTTCCTTAGGAAGGTGTCGGGAAAGGAAAACCAGAGCACAGGCAGGTAGGATAGCATTTTTAAGAGCTGCACAAACACCTATGCCCACCACATCTTCCTAGCAGAAACAAGGAAAAAAATTATGGTTTGTCACTCTTAAGAGGGGAAAACCAGAATATAAGACAATTAGTAATGGAAGATAAAGTGGGTCTCGGGCAGAAAACGAGGGATAAAATTGAGCTAAGTAGCAGCCAGCATTAGTTAAGTGACCTTAGTGTAGAGGAATGCTGCCTTGCCAGGTCCCTGCAGTGTCAGGGAGACAGTTGGTCCACAGTGTCTTTCCCCTTCTGTTGCTCAGAGGGCATCAAGCTGCTGACAAGCCCTGCTAAACAGGAAGGATCCTGTCCTGGCCAGGTTTGAAGAAGAACTTTCAGTGCTGAGCCCCTCTTCCCCCATGGGACCTCCAGGCATCCAGGTTTCTTTCTGAAAATTCTGATCCCAGACATACTTTTTTTTCAAAGAAGGGCAGACAGGCAATAAACCAGCCCCCAGAGCACTCCCAGCCTTTTCCAGTTCAGTGCTGAAATTGGAGGTGATCCAAAATAACACAGAATAAACCCCATGGTAAAACATGCACAGTGAGAGAAATTCCCCATCTCCTCAACAATATTCTTGGCCTCTTAAGAGTCCCAAGGTGAGATAGGGGGAGAAGGCAGAGACAGGATCTTGTTCCTCTCTGACCTGGAAGTTCTCTGTCCTTGAATGGATCATCAATCTCTGTGCTCTTCGATCTGGCATCGCTTTCACACACTGGGGTCTCATAGCTGAAAAAGGAGAACAGCAGATGCTAAACTATGTGATACAGCTTTAGTGTCATCAGATGGTTGCTAAGGGGTTATGTCTTATCTTACTGCAGGGGAAACAAATAAACCTGCGGAAGAAATATTATTCTCAAGCATCTGTCTGCTTATGGACAGCCAGCAACAGTAGCAGAAGTGGAGAGGGAAGGAAAAGCATACTCTGAAGCCCGCTACCAGCTCAAACCCACAAACAGCAAAAGGCCCTCTTCCAACTCCGTGGGCACAGGCTGAGGGTTTTTTCTCAAGCTGTCCATGCTCTGCAGAATCACTGTATCTAGCAGAGTTTAGGTCCCAGCTCCTACTGGCCTGGTTTTATAACTTGCCAGACCCACAATTTGTTTCCAAATCCCAAGTGAGAAAAGATTCCTAGTTTTAAAATACAGAGTAATTTAAGGATCTATCTATCCGTGGCTTAAAATTTATCAATGCACAACAAAGAAGTCTTCTAAATCAGTACTGGTCAGGATCAAAGTGGCTGCAGCACGAAGTATAAAGCAGCAAACAATGCAACAAAGCCGTTTCTCTTTTCACTGTCTGAGCCCCAACCAGTGCTCTTGAGCAAAGCCCTGGTTCCTGCTGCCACCCAAAAGCTGCAAGCCAGAGAAAAGAAAAACCAGGGCTGCTTTGCATGATTACTTAACGCAGAGGAAAGTAAGGGCAGTAGTTACTATGCACCAGGTCCTACGGAGAAGCAGCTGCACAGTAACATTCCATCCGGCACCGCTAGCTCTAAGGAAGGCACTACAGAGCTGACTGCTCTGGAAACAGGAACTTAGAGTTTTTTATAATGCATCAGCTCCAGGCCCATAGCTCTTACCGAGTGGAAGTACCAGGCAGCGGGCGTCCCGTGTCCACCAGGACACACCAGCAGTACCCAGTCGACTGGTGGCATTGCACTGGTTTGTAGAGCCCTCCGGGAGCACACTCGGGGATGACGATACCCTCGCGGGGGTTCTGCCTGGCCTCCTCCAGGGCGCTCTGTCTTTCCTGGTCACAGGAGTGAACTTTTTCTGGAAGATGGGAGGGAAGTTGGAGAGGGTGGAGGGAAGGGAAAAAAAAAAAAAAAAAGTCAAAAAAAGATCTTCTTCCCCGGCTCAGCAGGATATGGGTATCCTTCACATCAGGAGACCTCTGTGTATGTTTCCTTCTCAGCAAACACCAGCATGTCCTCATCCCTAGGGACTCAGGGACTTCTGGGTTGAGAGCTTCCTCCTACATTTAGCTGTGACACAAGATGATTATGGATTAGAGATATTGACTGCCAAGTGCCCACCAAGCCAGGAACAGCAGGAAAAACTGTTCCCGTTCACCTGGGTTTTGGAACAGAGCTATCAGATGACAATAATTCACTGTTACTGCAGCCACGGGGTAAGCATTTCCCAGATGATGTTTTTGCATATTGAAAGATCCTAAATTGTGACTTGTATTTTCCAGTTAAATGAAGGTGGCAAACACCCTGCCGTGCCCCATCATCTCTTTCTCCAGACTGCAACACACTCTTCCCTCTCAATAGCATCTCTCCAATGCAATCCCAAGAAGAGCAGAAGGTTATAACACCACCTTATCCAGTGCAGAGAGCACCTGCACACACCTCAGCAGGAACTCAACACACACTGCAGCACGCTCCACCGTTGCGGAGGGCGCTCTTCCTGCCAAGGGGTAGGTAGGACGGTGCCCCTTAATAGCTTATTACACAGAAAAGGTTATTGCTAAAGTCGTCATCAACCAAAGAACAGAGTACACAGATGGCACACACCAAAGGAGAGCAAGAAGCCCAGAAGTGGCTGCTGCAGCCAGCCTGGCACCTTCAGCCCTAACGCTGCCTGCAGAGGAGCAACAGATGCAGAGAGAGGTGCCAGGCTGCTGCCTCTTATATGGACCAGCCTATAAGGGGGAAGAGATGCACAGAGTACCCACGGGATGTTACAACCTATTTGGCTCAACAGCCAGGAGTTCTTAGTTGCAAAACCTCAACATTCTGGCCCTCTGAGGCGCAGAAAAATTATTTCAACTTTGGAAACCACTGAAGGTATCAGAGAGGAAAAAAAGCATGCATGTGAGAGAAAGCAGTCAAGGCAGCTGATCACAGGATTTAAAACATGTCTAAGTCTAGGGTAAAAAAGGACAACAATATAACTCCTAACTTTTATCCTTAGGAGAGTGACAAAAACCAGAAGCAGGAACAGTTGTTCTCTCCTTCCCTAGCTTTCCTCACCTTTACTCTGTCTTTGCTTTTTAGAAATAAGCCACAGCATCTGAAATCCCTTGCCGCAGCCAAGAATCCCCTCAAGCTTTCAATACATAAAATGCTTCAACACTGACAGGCAGTGACACCACAGGTTGATCCCAAACCTGCAGATGTTTGCACAGTCAGCCAGCAGACATGGCATGACCTCAGCATCCTGCCCCCGGGACAGGCTCGGCGCACAGCTAACACACGCTCACTGTTTCCATGAATTTTGCCTGCCTGCCTGCACCCCATCAGTAAAGTCTCACATTTTGGTGATAAATTTTGATGCTGAGACTAATTTTTGCCCTGTATTTGGGGAACAGAAGGGATGCTGATTCACAACTAGAATTCCTCAGCTTGGTAGCAGCAGGTACAACACAAAAAACTCCAGCATAGCGTCACTGGAGAACAGCATGGTTTGGGTACCAAAAGCACTTTTACAGGTTTCTAATTGAACTATAGCAGCTGAAGTCTCAGAGACCTGGATGGTCTCCCTCTCCTCAGCATTTCAGATCACTGTCAAGGCAGGGAATGTGGAGGACACCTGAACTTTGCCACATACAAATCCACACAACCAAAGCATGGAATAAAAACTTGTAAGTGTCGGCAAGTCTGATTCAAGCAGAGAGAAACTTGATCAGGAAGGAGCAGGAGGGGATAAAGTCAACAAAAACTGAAAGGGAGCTCAAGCCTCAGCTGATATTTAAGCTGACTTCACTTTGCTGACAGATTTCACATCTGGGGGAAAAAAAAAAAAAAGGGCCCCATGACTGTTTCCAAGCTGTACAGGGACAGAGAATTCATTGAGCGAGAGGCCTGCAGGCTCCTTAACAAACCACTTACATCACGAGGGGCCCGTGGTCTGCCGACAGCAATTCACACCTTGGCCCTCAGGTGAGGAGGATCATTCATGCAGCTTGTTGAAGCAAAAACAGGGGGAGAATTCCCTATCATCTTTTTATATAAGAAAACAAAACCTGCTGAAGAGAACCACATTCCAGGGATTTTTCTGTCTAAATCTCCAAAGCTTCTTGAGTGCACAGTGTCAAACCAAGATTGCTCAAGTCCTTTGAATCTTACAAAACCAGCACTAAAAAATTACAGTGAAAAAAATAGTGGGTTTTTTTGTCTGTGTGTCAGAACAACAACAACAAAAAGCCACTTTTATTGAAATCAAGAAAAAAAAGGAAGAATAAATGTCATTTAATGAGATAGTATCTTGTTTTACATACATTTGCAGTTAGGTATGCAAATTACACAGCATAAATGCACACACTTACACGTTTGTACTATGCCGTAAAAAATGGCAAAAATTTCTCTGCACGTATTAACATTTGTGGGAATAGAATAGCCACAGCATTTACTACCAGAACACAGAACTAATTGGTAGTCACTCGTGTTTGAAGGGTGTTTAAAGGCTGAGTGAAACAAATCCTACCAGTTTTGTTCAGCTGACACAAATAGATGCAATGACACAAAATTCCCTGCCCATGGCAGGGGGGTTGGAACTAGATGGTCTTTAAGGTCCCTTCCAACCCAAACCATTCTATGATTCTATGAAAATCCCCCATCACCACCAGTACTCAGTGGCCCATCACTAGCAATGACAGCAACACAACCGAAATATCAGGGAGGTTTTCCTCATTTCTAGCCTACATCTAGAAGCAGCCACTATGAAAGTTCCATCTATTCCATTACATCCCAAAGAACATAAAACAGAGGTACTGCGGCAAACCGAAGGCCCAACCTGTCTCTCTTTCACCTCCAGCCGTGGCCAAAAGCAGATGCTTAGAGGAGACAGGACAAGCATAAACTTCTTTCCCACATGTATTTCATGCCTCAGACAGCTGCGGATCAGAAACACACAGAGACAGACACAGAGTTTGTATTTAGTGAGTTGCAATGGTTTTTCCATGTCTCTCCTCAAGCTTTTACTGTGCTATCCTGCAGCTTGTTCTGTGGCTTGACTACACGTTGTGTGTGGAATACAGCACATCCTTGGGTTTGATCTAAACCTGTCTCCAACTACTTTTGTTTGTTGGCCCTAGTTCTTCTGGAGGATGAAACAGCGAAGAGTGTGCAGTCACTCCCTCCCTGTCTCTCACTGCTTTACAGGTTCCCACTTCATCTCTTTTACATGCTGAAGAGTCCCAGCTGACCCAGCTGTTCCTTCTCTGAACCCTTTCCAGGCCTACCATACCTTCCCTGAGCTAGAGAGGATCAGAATAGCAAAACACATTGACACTACATGAGGGTCTGACAACAGCCCTGTGGAAAGTTCCTTCAGTGACATCTGTCTACCAAGCAGAAGAAAGTATTAACTAGTACTAGCCCCCGGAGAGGCTCTTTCCTCCAGGCTACCACTCTAACAGCACTTAAATCCCTTAAAAAATAAACATGAATATTAACAGTTGGAGTGTTTTTCAACAGCCAGCAAAATCAGCTGGGAAATCCATACCATCAGCTTTCCTAATATGGGAATTGGCATGAACCGCATACACTGTCACCCTGAAAGACAGTCTCGCAGGTAGTGAAGGGACCATCAAGTGCTATCCCAGCTCCAGGACGCTGAAGTCAGCCTGTTCCAGACAGACTGCTTACTGGAAACTTCGCTGCTGTTGCCAAGGCCAGGTTTATGGAGGATAGTGAAAGCCAATGGCCAAGCTAGGAGGTTTAATGCCAGCTATGAAATTAAGCTGTCATCTTAGAAAGAAGCATATATTTATTATATATGCAGGGTACTTAAAAGCCTACTCCCTCTTTGAGCTAATGAGGGTTGCAGGCACAGAAAGATAAAGAAAAAAGGTTTTCCTTCTTTCCTTATATTAAACATTTAGAGAGAGAACATTTAAGACTGCAAGTCAGTGGGACACAAACAGCCTTCCCAGGACTAACAATAATAATAGACCCCCCTTCGGTGTTCTTGTGGGGTTTTTTTTTGTGGGATTTTTTTTTTTTGGTTGGTTGAGGGTTTTTTTGTTTTCTCAAAGGCACTGTCATGTTCCCCTTTTTTTCTGCCACCTCTGCTTTGACTTAAGACAACCATCAGCAAAGAAGCTGAGTAATGCTTGCCAATTCAGTGTTGCTGGGGAGCAAAACCTTCTGGAGACAGCAAATCTAGATTACAACAAATCCAGTGACAGAAAGGGAAAAAAAAAAGATAGGGAACATGCACACACAAAGGAGAGAATCACTGGCAGAAATACTCGTTTTACCTTAACTGCTCAGAACCAACTTTTCCTTCTTAACTCTTTCGACTGCTTCTAACACTCCTCAAACCATTTTTAAAAGTAGTGTCTCTGAAGCCACGAGCTATTGCAGGAAAACAGGGCTTGGACATCTGCAGTTGCATATTATTTATGCAACAATTTTCCCCTCGTAATGGCCTTCTGAGAAATGCACGGACAGATTCATAAAAAGGTCTCTCATTCCTGGTCCCTTAAGTACACACATTCAAACATACATCTAGTGCCTGCACAAAACCAATAAAAATGATGGATGAGGTAAGGGACTCATCTGACTGTCTAATAAACTAGACGGTTATTGAAGAGATGGGGCGTTTGTTTACCTTACAAAGCTGAGAAGAGAGGGTGTCTAGCAGCATCTAATCAGAGGCTTGTGCTTAACAGTTCTCATGCTCAGCTCGCAGGGCTAGATGCAGCCAAGGTGCTGCTCTGGGGATGAGGAAGCCTCCCCCAGCTGCCCTCCTGACATGTAACAGCCCTCATTGCTATCCCAGCCAAAGGACCAAGCATCGGTCACCCCAAGGACGCTGTGGAT